AGAAAGTGCTCTCTTTTTTACAAAAACGCAAACAACAAGAGCATCTATACCTGCAAAAATGTAAATGATCAAAGCTTTCTATTGATATATCATAAATGATTTGGAATAAATATAGTACTGTATAGTTTTTCTTGAGCAATCATATCAATGGATTACCTAAACGTTTAAAAATTAAGCTTGAAGTTTCGTCAAACAAAATTAAGCATGAGTAGTGCTATACTATTGAAGCCATTCTTGTCGCTAAATAAAATATTTACAATTTTATGGTTTAATGGTTAAATATTTGTATTGAAAAAAATGCAAATAAAAGGGGTGAGGTTAATAAAAGAAATAAATATTGGACGGATAAGATAGGTTGTTGTTTAAAGCAACGCGCCTTCAGATGATGTTTTTATATTTGAATTTTTAACAAAGAAATATCATTACATGTAAAAGATAGTCTTTATACAATTTATCATAACAGCCATTATCTTTTTAAAAATGCTTTCACCGCGATACAAACACACATTTATTTAGCTATTTTGCATATTTCAACATAAATTACGTAACTGATGTACTTTGCTGGTGCCTGATGCTAGTTGAAAATACCCTTTGGTTAACTGGGTAAAATAATTTTAGTGTTATTTTCATGCACTTTCTAAATGTTTATGAAACTAATTTCAATCTAGAGGCGTGCTACTTTAAACTCTATCACAGTTTTGCTTATTGCTCCTACAAAACTCTCTCAACTGACATAACAAATGGTTTGTATGAATCAACCGTCTTCATTGATATTACATAGCGTCATATACCATCTTGATCTAGCATTACCTAGTGTCAAACAAGGTGACGATTGTCATCGCTCAAATAATGTCTTGCATGACCGAGTTGTTTACTTATATGTGTGCTTACATCGAAATCTCCCAATGATGTCACAATGTGGATAAATCCTTCCTTGTCAGATGGAACAATGTTCTTGTTGTAACAAATAATCACTCTCAACTTGCATAATTAAAATTTTTTTGTAATCTTTTGACAACCCTAATAGTTTTCACCATTCATTTTCGATAATGATATTAGTTCTCACGCAAATTTCTCAATTAATGAAAATACACATTTAATGCCACCAAATTTACACAATGTTGATTCGTTTCTTAACATAACTTCAAAGGCGTTGATAGTTTTGTCCACATTTATATGTAGTATTTGTCCAGCATTCTATACAATCCATATGTGCATGTACATGTATTTACAAATGCTAAGAATATGTACAAAGAGACGTAACAAATATACAGTCTGTGAAAGAAACACCCGATTTTAAATTGTTCATTAGTGATATGAATAGAAACAGTCGTCTTTTAGATGAATTGTTTAGAAGGAGGTCGTGTTATACTAGTAGTTGCCCTCATTAGAGTATGAAATGTAAAGTTGTTGGGCAATCTGTATTACTGTGCACTATTATGTTTTTGCAAATCGTGCACACATTTCAGAAGAAAATAGTTTGAATACGCATCATAGAAAAGAGAAAGAATTTGACACTTCAAGTGTCATGAATTCTTTACTTCTTTTCAAACATATGGAAAATTTTCCCGCAGGCGAAACAGCATGGTTCTATGCAACATTGGCATATGGTCTCGTGCAATCTCTTGAAAACACTGCAGTTGATCTGGAACATGTGCAAACAAGGTGTGATAAACCATACATGGTAGAAAGCGACCTCTGCGAACTCACATCCCCAACTTGCTGCTATACAAATACCACAGCACAGTGTGCTAAGCTTGTAACATAAACCGAGCCAAAGGTTGAAGCACGTGTATGACAGCTTCCATACGCAATCAATACTGTGAGCATTTTCGGGTTCTCCTATAACATCTTCAAAACAGACCTGGAATAAATCAGACGTATTAGTGAAAAATATTCATTTTATTGCAATGATGCAATGGCATGTTTTGGAACCACAATAACAATTTGATAATTTTAATTTTGCGCAGCCGATAACATAAAGAATAACGTTTTCTGCATTGGACTGATGATTTTGTGTAATGTATTTGTCCTCTTTGAATTTGGAACAGTACTTTCAAAGTAAGAGGATTTTAATAGCAAAATGCAAAACCAAAGTTTTAAACAGAATCGTGTATGGTCAGATTGCGCGGATGCACTGACTTGCCTTGCCATTGGTGACAAAACTAATCACTTTTGGTTGATAGGTTAAGAGTTATTTACTTCGACTGTTGAATGTGTCGCCCTTCGATTCATAAAAACACATCTGTCTGAATATGAACATCAAAATATAATGCTAGTGTTGATGTCTTATGCATGTTCATGTATCACTAAAACTAGTCGCGATATCACTAATATCTTGAATCTTAAGAATAGTAACTTACTAATTTATTGTTTCTTTCTTAGAAGATATTTACGTCATCTAATAATTTTAGAGTGCGCAATATAAAACATGTATCCATTTTTAAAAAACATTTAGGAACCATATAAACATTTGTTGACCATGTTTCATTAGTTTCAGTAATTCATTTGCTTATTTTGAATTGACTTATTGCGCATTTTACTTCCAGAAATTAGAGTTATCACGTTAGAAATATAGTCTTTATGCGGATATTTCCGTGAGCTTTCGGCAATATAGATATATTCTTTTGATTGAGCTTTATGAAGAAAGTTGTTCATTCAAGATATATTTACATTAAAAAGAGATTTGTTTTATGTCTTGAATGCTTAATGTAAATGTACCTTTTTGTAACATTTACATCTGTTCTGCAGAATATAAAATCCAAGCCTGCAGAACGAGGAATTCAATACATTCCGAGGATTTCTGCAGATATAAATTCAAGGGGAAAGGTGCATTAGTGCTATTCTTGCATAAACATATTTTCTTCGTTTATGTACAAACTTGCATGCGAATTTTCATGAAAGATTAAAATTTTTTTAGTTTGTAACAATTAGAATATAACAAACAAAATCATTCAAAGAAAATTTTGTCGCAATTGTTTATATGACAAGTGTGTGTGCGTTGTGATAACTTTTGAACATTTATTTTTGTTGCTGTGGTAACAAAATTTTATTTTTTGAATTTTAAAAATTAAAAAAAAAAAAAAAATCTAAATCTTGTTTGCTTTTGCTTGTTTCGGCATTATTTGATTATGAAGATTGAATGTTCATAAGGTTTTTTATGTTTAAAAAAGCGAATTATTTCTTTTATTTATTCATTCATATTTTAATTATATATATTTATCTTGATTATTTTAATTTAAACATTATTTTATTTAGATATTTATGAACGCATCTTTGTTACCTTTACTTAGGAGATTTGATTGTTCTGGAAAAAAACTCAAGAGATATCATTCCTTAATTAAAAAAAAGTGTTAACCTTTAATCCTGCATTAAGATCATTGGGATCTCTCTGTTCTAAATCCACTGCCATTTCTGTTAGTGCCTCAAATTAAATTCCAAACAATTTTTATCACAGGGAAAAAAAGAACGGACCCAACCGTCGGTGTTGAGTGTACTTCAGAAACTGATGCCGAGAATGTTGTTTAGTAAACAGTAACAGTAGTTCTAGGTAAATAACCAGTTTCCAAAGATACAGTTTAATTATTGATGACTAGAGATTCTAGCGTGACAAGTTCTAATGTGTGAACAACGTTCATGCTTGTTTGGTCATACAGGTAGATAAAATACAAGTAGTTATTGCCTAGTTTATTGCCGCGACATTTTAAAATTTACAATTATTTGAGCTATTGATCTGTATGGGAACGACTTAATATGATTGATATCGATTAACATCATCATGATAATCGTTTCCATCATTTGTTTTTTACTTTTATTTACCATTTACATCATTTTCACAACATTAACTTCTACATTATTATCAGAGTCATCATTATCATCGTCGTCATCTTTTACATCGATATGATATTATCATCGTCGTCATCCTCTACATCGATATTATCATCATCATCGTCGTCGTCGTCGTAGTAGTAGTCACTACCATGAGCAACACCAGAATCATTATCATAATTCCTACCATCACCATCATCATCATCATCACTTTAACATCCATCTGTATCATTATCAGAAACTTCTCCTTATTCATCATCGTTGCCATCGTAAAGGTTGCCGTCGTCATCGTCATCAAGATAACAATCAACAGAAGTCGCCTGTTTTATTAATATTCTTCCACAATGTTATGTGTTGTTGTTATTCTTTTTGCACATATCTAGCTGTGTTTTATGAAGAAAATATCATTTTTAATGTCAAGGTACAAAACAAATATTGAAGACTTGCGATATAAAAACCATTTGGGTGTATATATGACTCCAGTGTAGCATTTTAGCCAAATTCGTTAATTTCCGTAATATAACTAATTTACAACCCTTTGAGTGGATCAGAGTCAAAGCGACGCATAAAACATTTTTGTATAATCGAAACAGCGATAAAATATTTCGAATTATAACGAACTTAAAACAGAATCGAGCGTGGACTTAATATTGTACATATTTTCATTGGTTACAATAGAAATAACACGTAAAACACCAAAAACAAACAACTCTCAAACTAATTTATTATCTATATAAACGTTCAATCTGATACACATAATAGAATTAATCATAAAAAAGAAAAAAGAAAACCAAAATGCAAATTTGGAACATCTGCGTACATCAATAGATACCAATAAAGATGAAAAAGTCAAATAAACAAACATTTTATACTGAACAGTGAAACGATCAAGATGTGTTCGTTATATCCGAGTTTGCCTAACTATTATAATCAGTAGTATGTTATAGTATACAAGTTGTCTTTGTTTTGTGTAGTAAATCGATATGTACGATTAATCCAGGATTCGACACATCCGTGTCATTTTATTGCGATCATCGTGTTATAATAATATTTATCAGAATCATATTTCTCGCAATAAACACTTAATATTGTACATGTTCAATTTAAAAAGTTCTATAAAAAAAAATAGAGAATTGATGATATCAAAATTTACCAAATAAATACTGGTATCCAAAAAAAAAAACAATAAGTAATAACATGTTACGCGTACTGTCTAACTAAAAGAACAAGAGGCTATGAATTTGAGTAAATTCAAATACATGTACATGTATGTTGCATGTAAATATGGACGGATAGGATAAGAGTCAATGTGTATATAATATCACAGTACTGGCCTATTTATTTATAGACTATAATAATCTTAAACATATATTTTAAACATTCATTTAACATAGTTGTTATTAATACATAATATTATATCAAACAATAAGTAACATTCACAACATTTGGACTAACTCTTTTCACATATAAAACGAAAAAAAAATCTAAGGTGAGTTGGTATTAAAACACGACCTTGTAACAAATGATCAGTTCGTAAAAAGATTAAGAAATCTGCATTCATTGCTACTGCTCAATTTTTCCCCAAATGCTTGAAAACGGTTCCGAACGCTTCACAGCATGGCTCAAGACAACATCCACAGATGGTTTCATGAATTTTCTTCAGTACGGAACAGTTGATCTCTAGCATGCGGAGAAATGGGGTTATGAACCAAATATGGTAAAACGCTGTCTCGGCAAACTCACACGCCCACTCGGCAGCGATACAGATGCCAAAGCAAAGGGTACTGATTTTGTATGTGAGGCCCAGCCAGCACGTAAAGCACGTGTATGATAATTTCCAGACACAGTCTAAACTATGAACGCCGTCAGGTTCTGCTAAAACATCCTCAAAAGCAACCTGAAAATAAAAAAAAAGTTATACTTTATAGTGTTTCAATAAAAAATCTATGCAGCCAAAAGTTTTCGACACCATTATCATTATCATAATGATTAACAACAACATCATTATTATCAACATTATTATTCCTTATGATGAATACAATATTCCATGCAGTCAATGATTAGCACTTTTCATCATCATCATTATCATCATTAACATCATCGTCATTATCAACAACAATAATAATTATCAACAGCAATAATAATATAATCATCAACAACATTTTATATTTTCATAATGAATAAAATGTTCCATACAATCAATAGAATGTAGTTTTTATCATCATCGTCATCATTAGCATCATCATCATCAACATAAATAACATTATCATCATCAACAACAACATCATCATCTCCATCATCAACAACAACAACATTATCATCATCAATAACAACAACAACATTGTCATTCTTTATAATTATTTAAATGTTGCGTGCAGTCATAGTAACCAGTTTTCATCATCATTATTATCATCATAATCATCAGCAGGAGCATCATCATTATCATCAACATCATCATCATCGTATTCATCAAAAACAACAACAACATAATTATTGCTACTAAGACTAACATCGTTATTGAAGCATATCTGAATATATACATTGCTGAAGCCAATTATATTTATAGAGTTTGACATATATCAACAAAATGATTCAGCATTAATATGTGTTCATGCATTCAATAATTCTTCGTTTATCTAATATATAATTATCTAATTCTGTCATATTAATGATAGTATATTGTTAAAACACCGACCTCTTTTAAGGTCAATAATAACTTATGCAAGCAGCTTAAGTGAAAACCAATAACTTATAGGAAAACATGTATTACTATCGTCGCACGGGACGATTCGTGCTTATCTTAATTGCCTATCTCTGTGAATGTACGTGAAACTCGTGCAATATTAATGAGGTTTTTCCTCTTTACCTAGCTACATTGTAAACAAAGGTAAACATTGTAAACAATGCGTCCCCAGAGCCTGGTAAAATTCAATACGCGTTACTTTTACAACTTTCTCTCGTTTTACATAGCCTATTTGGGAAAAGAGTATTACTTTTTAAGTTCAACTGAACATTTCCGACCATGTTTTAATGACCATGTAGTAAAAGTTGCTAGTAAATGGCAGATATTGATTTAGTCTGTAATGAACTAAATTTAAGAAAACGATAAGTTCTGTCTCTTTTTGCAAATGATACAGTATATCATGAAAAAGTTTTCATTATACCCCTTAGATTATGCGGCATGGCAGTGTAATATAATATGATTACGAATTAAATAAGGTAAAAATCAAACTCGTAATGTTTTTATCTTAAAAAGCAATAATGGCAAAAGCTATCATATCTATTTTATTTGAGATTAATCCTTTACATTTCTTGTAGAATGGCAAGAACTATCCTTTACATTTTATTTTTCGAATGACCAATGAAATTCCCAGATTTCAATTTGTAATTTAAAATGACAAATGAAACTTCTTCTTAAAAAATGATTTTAGATGGCCTACGGCTAAAAAAATCCTTCATACAAATTGCATTTATAAAAATATGAATATTCAGAATAAATGGCAAACAATATCATACTTAAGTCCGATGAATTATTGATCTATCGATCCTATCAAACTTTTATATATAGTTAATGATGGTATATTGTCAATAGCTCAAAATATTTTATATCTTGGAAATTGCGATACCAAACATGCGTTCTGGTTAGGTTTCGATGTTAAAGTATCATGTTACAATCGATGACATGGCACAGTTTTGTTTTCAACTATACCAGATAGATTGGAGAATCAATAATTTGTTAGCAGAACGCGTGTTTACTTGATGACGCTTATCATTAACGGTTAGTTCTAATAAAAAAACCTTTATAATTTAAAAAACGTTATATTTAATTGCGTAAAATGGTTATTTTCGATTAAATGTCCATTATGCCCCAGAATGCTTTCATTTTCATTTCTCGTAAGCTTTTTATTTTTGTGCCAATGTTATAGTTATTATATTTGCCCTTTTCTAAAGGGTGAAAAAAAATCAATTCTAAGGCATAATGTTCCTTTTTTGGATACCAAAAGGTACGGAAGAGTATACTGACCCCCCTTATATATTTTATATGCCTGTTTAAAATACGACGATACATGATAACAACATTGTTCGTCATGGTTTTTTAAAAGTTATATATATATAGTTCATATTGATCTTTTCTGTTTTTTGGCTACTATACTGTTAAAAAAACGTATTATAAACTTAAGTCTTTCTTAAGACCTTACTTTTATTTATAATAAATATGTTTTTTCTTCTTTTCATTGAAATTCTACCTCAAGAAGCAGACGTTTTCTTCGAGTAAACGCTTTTATTTATTTGAAAACAGTATGTTTTCGAGGCATTATTTGTTTGACAGATATAGAGATGATATAATCATATATAATATATATATTCTTAACCTGAGTTTTTAGCTTAGATGATGTTTTATATGTTTCGTAAAATAAGTTGATCGTTATGATAACACGCTTGCGGTACACGAGTATTATATAAAAGATTATAATTTGTCTGATATATATTATAATTATATAAATGGTATTAAAACTTTGAGTAACTTATACTATAAATATTTCTTACACCTTTTTCAATAATTATACATGTTGTTTTTATATCAAAACGAGAAAAGGGCCATTTAATATTACAATAATAGATGATACCAAGAGAATCTAATTTAATTTATAAATTCATACATCTTTTTTCATGAGAATTATATGATAAAGGCTAAATTGTACAACTTCTGTATGTTAAGAAGAACGTTCTGTTCTCTTAAATTTCCAAATATCATCGAAGAAACAATGCATATTTGTGATTTATGGTGTATAATAACAGATAAAACTCTGCAAGATCTACTTTAGATATCATATAACTTGTCATTTTTTAAAGATATGTATTATACAAAGGTTTTTTTTCTTGAAGGCATAAAAAATATATAAGGGGGTCAGTATACTCTTCCGTAAAAAGATATTTCGAACAATCATTAAGACTATGTTATCTTCACCTTATTGCTCTTTTAGTTTTAATGTTTCTAAAATAAGCAAGTTAATTCAAATTATCCACAGTCTTCATAATAATGAAACTGTCTGCCTTGTGTTTTAAGGTAAATCCAAAGATAAATTTACTATTTTGGAGGTACATTAACGTTTAGAAATGAATATATTGTTTTCTTCTTTAGAAAGTGCAAATATGCGTTTTATACTCTTTTGATAATTTATTTAGATAATTTTGGCGGGTAAGAAGCGCTGAATGTACAACAATTCGTCATAAAAGTAGTCATATGTAAATAAGTATTATTTTGACTTCCATACAAAAAAAAACAAAATTACGATATCTTTACTAAAATTCAAAAATGAAAAAAAAAACAAAAGATGGTTCGGCTATATGATCAATAGGTAACATTTTTGGAAAGTGTTAAGGACACCAAAAATAAGAAGAAAGTTATTGTGAAATAACTGCAATGTCATATTTTTGGCTTTGAAAACTTTGTTTTTCAATATAAGATAGAAAATTTTCTTTTTTCTTCTCAAAACGAGTAGTGTATCTATTCATTATAATTTCTAAATAAGTACATTTTTCTAAAATATATATATAACAGAAAAATATATAATTCAATAATGTATTCTTCCTTACGACTAAAAATTGAAATGTTTCTTAAATTCTAACACATTCTATGATATTTTTTGAAAAACTATAATATAAAAGTGTAATGACTGCTGCTTTTTTTCAATGATAATGATAAAAATTGTACATGCATGTCGAAATTAAAAAACTGCAGGATTTACCTTTAAATGATCGTTAATGTTGTTTGGATCCCTGTTAACAACGTCCACTGTGTCCATTTTGGTTAACTTAACAAAACTGACCAAGTACTACAGAAAAAGTGGAACCTTTGGGAGTGACCGGATAAATGCCGTACTTCATATGTAACGGCTGATATTAATTCGGAAGTTGTTATTACCCGGTTACCAAAGAAACGGTTGAATAATTGATATGCTGCCGATCTGGCGGTCATTCAGGATGGACATTGTCATTGTTTTCATTGTAAGAAACTGGGATACTGACCAATCAGGATATCGATATTCATTATGTAACACTGAAATATGTCCTCATGTTTACAGACTTTCGTTACCTTGCAACGATAAATCTGTAATTGGTAATTTTATTAGAAATGTACTTTTCCACAAGTGACAAAAACGTATATACATGTAATTTTATGTGTTAGTTAGTCCTTTCAGCTCATAAACAGACCACCTTAGTCTATTGTACGAAATAGTATTTGGGAAAAATTGATGTTTTTATTATAACAAATGTATTATTATTATTGTTGTTGTTGTTGTTGTTGTTCTTCTTCTTCTTCTTCTTCTTCTTCTTCTTCTTCTTCTTCTTCTTCTTCTTCTTCTTCTTCTTCTTCTTGGTGTTATTTAGGTGATTAAGCTTATAAACGGACCGCCTTATTCAGTATTTATTTATGGTACAGAATAGTATTTGGGAATTATTGGTGGTTTTTGTTTCCAGATGAGCCAAAATATTTAAAGAAAATCAATATTGAGAAAAATGTACTAAAATTTTAAGAAAGGTAAAAATCATTCAAGATCCAAGTTATGTTTTACATGTTATGTGCGATTTACGACTTATTTTGCAGTATTTTATCACCATATTTCTACTGCGTTACTAACGCAGTAAGGGCTGTTTTTGCATATGTTGACCACGTTTTAGTAATTTTCTTGTATTGTAAGTGCCGATTAATTATTTTATTTCTTCATCTCACAATATATTACTTTTAAATCAATTTCTAAAATTTTCATGGAAATTAACATGAATATGGAGACGTGCTGCTTTAAACATAGATGTATTTATTTTGTTATTTTCACCATGACCGTTTAATGATCGTTTCCCTTGTTACAAGTATTGATTATAGCATAGAAACAAAAGATAAACAATCCTGGGACATGAGAAAACAATTGCAGCGTTAGATGACATCACGTGATAACAGATTGTACTTATATTCCTGTATTGGCAGCTTTTCGAACAATATACAAGGCATGAATATTTAACTTGAAGGCGGTTTAATTTACAACACCTGAATTATCTGGTTATTTCCGCCTCGCTCGGCGCCTGAATTCATTCGCTTCTTAGTTAACATCGCGCATGAATTAAATAAAATGAAAATGTTTACTTTTTTATGTTCTCTTTTGTTAAAGTTTTGTCACGTTGTACATTGTATCAATAAATATTTATTAAAAGAAAACAATGTGTGATGATATAACCAGATAGTTAACGCGTCGTACTGATAATCTAAAGATTGCTGGTCGCGTATGTTCAAACCCCGTAAGGGGCAAGCCGTCGTTTCCGTGAGCTAGAAACCTTACACTGATTGCTTAGTACTGGTTGGTTTCAGTATCGGATTCGAGAGTGTTTTAACAAGAAACTGTTTCATTGAACTGTGTTTCAATAATAACTATTTTAAGAAATAGCTTCCAACAATGTAAAATAAATAAGTATAAACTAAAAGAAAACAATCGACTAGAGTATAATTATTTCTTAAAAGGACCGGTGGTTGCTCACTGCTGTGGGTTCGAGTTCCTTAGGGGACTTTGGATTATTTTTATGTAAGAATGCTTTCCACCAAGATCGTGGAAACTCGGTGATCCTTAACAAAGTTAATGAAAATTGATATACTGCAATTTCTTTAAAAAAGGACCAACTTTACTTTACCCGAAGTAGGGATTGCAGATTCCCATACATAGTTTATTTATTCTTTTATTACAATTAGACATATTCAGTAATAATTTCAAAAATTTCTATAAATTTTTCTGCCATTAAAATATTTTACTCAAGGATGAGCAAAGTACATGCATCTTTAAACAAATCCGTCAAAAAGGTTATATTTGAAACGCCACCAATATGTCTATAAACATTACATATATATTTACAAAGAAAGTCTTTGGTTCAAAGAATGTCCATAAAAACATTGATTTAAAGGTAGAAAAACGTGCGTGGTTTCCTAGCAACAGCGCATGTCCCTTGACAAAGTTCTAACGCTTCTCGAACGCTGAAAATATTTTCCCACATGCTAAACAGCACGGCTCCAGACAGCAGGCACATATCGTCTGATGACACTTCTTGAAAACCTCGCAGTTGATTTCCATCAACCGCAATGAAGGTGTTATAAACCAGATATGGTAGAAGGCAACTTCGGCGAACTCGCACGCCCATTCGGCGGCCAAGCAAATACCACAGCACAGTGTGCTGAGCTTGTAACACACGCCAAGCCAGAAGTTGAAGCACGAGAACGACAGCTTCCACACGCAGTCAATACTACGAACACCGTCAGGTTCCGCGAGAATATCTTCAAAGGCAACCTGTAAATGAAAGAGACCTTCTCTATTATATGTATTATCATAACACTTAAGTTGTTAAAGACAAGACATACAATTACAAAAAAAAAAACAAGTTGAACTCAGGATTTGCCCCTTTAACTTATTTTTTTTTTCGCACTTTATAAAATGTTTTCCAAATACTGCGTTTGCAGCGTTTGTTCCAATAGAATTTTTTTTAATTCCCTTGTAACAAAACATCGAAAACAAAGTGTGCTCTAGCTAGCTTGTTTTTTTTTTTTTCGACACCGTTAAAAATCCAAATCAAATCCATATTGTATCCCATCAAGCCTCGTTTTCGTTCTCCGGGTCTAAAAGATCCTTATAAAATCTATATAGTTCTCAAAGAACTAAAGTTCTGTGAAAATGTTAAAAATTGGTGGTGTGAAATGATGAAAACATTATACTAGTACATTGTTTAATACAAAACTGTTTCTATTGGACTCGTACACAGGTGCTAAAAATCTATATTGGACGTCGTACTTTAAAGGTTTGACGGCTGTTTTCTCGTCCAATTGAATTAAGTATTGAACTCAACAATGTATATTCATTTCACAATATTACAAATGTCGAATTAAATCGTATGTAGGTTGTTTATGGAAATAAAATGTATCTGTGTTCAACATCTTTTCCTTGTGTGTACATTGGTCAATATATTTTTAATGACATACAAAATATTCTTTATACACGTTGAATATTTTTAACTCAACTTTTTATCGTAATTGACTTCTTTGAAAGAGGCTGTTTTTATATTCGTTTTTTTTTCCTTTTTTATTAATAATTGTCCTGGATTCATACAAATAGACGGGTACACTAATCGATTAAAAACTCATCATTGGTAAAAAGGTAAGAGAATTTCTACAAAGAGCGTATCCTAGTTATGTTTAAGTACAACATCCTGGAAATGTCGTCTGCATGAACAACGCTGAATATGTATTGGAAAATCATTAACGAAAGAAAAAAATAAAGGCAAAAGATAATTAGTAGATGGGATGGGCAGTTATCCTTAGAATTGAACTTCCTGCAGTGGTAACTTCCCTTGTTCAGTACAAAACAGCTTCAAACTTTGCTTGATTAGCTTAGAAAGATATACTATTTCAATTTCATTGTATAGCAAGCTTCATTTAGGCACCGTTCGATTATCTCAATAGGTAGAGCGTTTGACTGTGAATCGGGCGATCCGGGTTCGATTCCCGGACGGTGCAGGTCACTTTCGTTGTGATTGATCATGAAATCCTTTCTACGGTCATTCGCAATGTATATCTGCTCTGGCATGTAAAGAAGTTATCAGTTCTTTGCGAAAGTGAAGGCAACTAGTTCAGGAACGATGCGGTGGCTGAACTATGCTCTGGTTAATTCAATGTGTCTTTCTGCCACGATCGATCCGGAGTGAAAACTACCAACACCACCGCCAAGTACTTCATTCACAACTTAATCGCAGTTGGGCTAGATTCTTGTGCCTGCTATAGGCTCAGTCGTGGCGAGTGTTCAACATAAATGAGAATTTGAATAGAAATGAATATACAAAATAGAATATGGATATTTAAATAAAAAACACAGAATTTGCTTTGTATGTATAAATAAATAGACAAGGAAAGCTAATAAACATGTACAAATGATAAAACAAGCACAGAAATATGTATGTATGATAATCTAGACAAAACAAATTTAAAAATATGTATGTTTAATTGACTAGACTAAGCAAAGAGATATGAATATATCAGTGACTTGACGAGACAAACAAAGAAATGTGTATGTATAAATGACTTGATGGAACATGCACAGAAATATGTATGTATAAATGACTTGACGGGACAAGCACGTATGTATAAATGACTTGACAAGACAAGCATAGAGATTTGTATGTATAAATGACTAGGCAAAACAAGCATAGAGATTTGTATTTATAAATGACTGGACAAAACAAGCATATAGATTTGTATGTATAAATGACAAAAACAAGCATAGAGATTTGTATGTATAAATGACAAAAACAAGCATAGAGATTTGTATGTATAAATGACTAGACAAAACAAGCATAGATATTTGTACATGTATGTTTAAATGACAAGAACAAGCATAGAGATTTGTATGTATAAATGACTACACAAAACAAGCATAGAGATGTGTATGTATAAATGACTAGACAAAACAAGCATAGAAATTTGTATGTATAAATGACTAGACAAAACAAGCATAGAGATTTATACATGACTTGAGAGAACAAACATAGAAATATGTACATACATGTATATGTATAAATGACACAGGTAATATACAAACCTTTAAGTGGTCGTTCAGATTATTCGGATCTCTGTTCATTAAGTCAAGATCCGACATTGTTGATTATAATCAAGTCCAACTATGAAATGAAATAAATACCAGAATTTTAACAAATCGTGAAAATCACTAATAAAAGCAGACGTACGTTGGCGATATGAAGTTGACAATAAAATATAATATTTTTTGTGTTTGTACCCGGTTTCCACCGAGACTCGTAAATAATTGATCATTTTTATCGGATTCTCACAGGACTTTAGATATTTCTAGAGGCATTGTCTTAACTATGCTAGATAATTAGTCTCTTATTCCCGATGGAATAGCAGACGACACTTTGAGGTGAAACTATATTTTTCGTAAAGTAAAAGAATTTGTACTTTCAGGTATGAATGAAAAATAAAGAAAATCAGAAATTTGTTTCATTTTTTTTTAATTAGAATACAACACTAAAAAGCAGTCAAGTTTGTTTGTGAATACACCTTATTTAAGCCTTTTTTCAAATTTGGTATACAATTGCTCATTACTTAATCATTTAATATTGATAGGAATTAGAGCTAACAGTACTTTCACAAGTTGGAATATAAGCGAAAGGTGCACATTTAAAAAATTTAAAAAAAAGTTCAAAGTTAAAAACCTATTTCAAAATTGCAAAACCATTTTGTACTAGTAAAATTGGTTTATTTCAAATAGTGTTTTTTTGTGTGGTCTTTCTTTATATACGAAAGTAAAGTAGTATCCCACTTGTAAACATTTGTGCGTTTAAAGAAATTCTCGGTAATGTTTGATGTGATAGAAGAAGAAGATGGGGCAAACCATAATTATATCTAGTCATTGTTCATGTATATTGTATATTTAATTATGTCATTAGTCATTTTAAGAAAGTCGTTGCCGTAAAATTTAGTAGTAGCTTACTCAAAACTAATTATATAGAATAAAATAGTTTAGAGTTGGAATTTACATGTAAAGTTCAAGAGTACAGTTTTTATTTTATTCTAGACAGCTTTTATATTTTATCCTAAACATTTTCAACTGTTGACCATAGCATGTCACTACGGGCACAGGTCAATCAAAAACGTAGAGCAATAAATTCATACTTTCTTTAAAAACGAAAATAGCCCTATATAAAAGATTTCCCAACGTGGTTGTTTTATTTAATTCACTTTATTATTGGTGCACTTAACGACACATCACTTTTCATTGTAACATCGCAATGGATTATAAATTTGTCAAAATTTGTATAGAATTATTTCAAATCTATAGCATTTTCTTTTACTTTTGCACGTATTAGTTTTTCAATAAGATTGGCCTTAATTTTGAGCCGTAATTGAATGTAAAGGTGGTGCTGTTTGTGTGTTTATTTCTTGTACATAAATTAATACTAAACATTTTAAAGAATATATTCTCTAAACCTTAGGAACCAGTACATAAATTATAACTCTATGTTTAAAATATAGTCTCTAAACTACAAGAAACATTGAAAACCACTACGGAAGCAGTCATATGCATACGTTTACAATGTGGGCTTCATGAAAATGGCATCCATCCGATCAATGAATAAATATGACTGGTCCTTCATGATTAAGCTGATGGTTTCACGTGCATCTTTTTGTATACCGTTCTTGAAACTCGTGAAACACGTGAAAATCGTGCAGTATGAACATAAAATGAAGTACAAGTGAACTTCACACTCCTTCATTTTCCAACATTGTTGTCCTTTTATATGTACTCGCTCATAATTTAAACATTCATTTTTCACATTTGTGGCATATTACCAAGTTTATCTAAATATGATTTGTCTTATAGTATATGATTGAACTTAAAAGTATTAATAATTGTTTGTACAGTCAAACCTGTATAACAACGCCATTCAATTAAGATATCGAACATGGTCATAATAGACAAGTGGTCTTTATTTGGAGTTACCCTGGGGTAAGTATCTCACAGCTATCGTTATATTTGCGTTTACGAACGTGCTAACGATTGACGGAGAGACGAGCGCGGGTATCTCGAAAGCGATATTTAAGCAATCGTTCGTTCCTTACTCGTTAGTTATTTCCAGTTCGTGAATAAATTATGTAATCATTTGAATGATTAAATTATGTAATCATTTGAATACCGCGAACAGTGTGTTGAAGAAGGCAGAAATGGCCATATAACGAAACTAAACCAAGACGAATTGGAAATGCAGAAAGTTCCTATAAAACTGACGTGATTACTTTTGAAAGGGAAAAACTTAAAATAGAAACTGCAAAACTAGTAACAGTAGAAAAACGACTGTATATTGAACAGCAGAGACTGACGATTGTGCAGCAAAGGTTGCAAGTGGAAATCAGATATTTTAAACACTTTACTCAGTCAAAGCTAATATTCTTCTCAATACCCTCCCTCATTTTTTCAGGCTACAGCAACGTGTTGGTATACTTTCAAGATTCATACTTGAAAATGTTACTTTCATGGACGAAATATTGAAATTGCAAATATCTAAATGAATGTAAATATCGAGCATTCAATCGTCATAGTAGTCTGTTTATTAAAACACATATAAGGACTCAAGTTAGTTCATAACTTTGCTTACAATGTAAACGCTTAATAAATGGATTATGTACTCGTGCATGTATATGCAAATGGTCTCACCATAAATAATCTAGAATTCTTTTTTCTAATGTAAGTTTTAAAAAAACGATCGTGATATACCAGTGACAATGATTACATGTATTACTATCATGATAATGATGATGATATGACGACGACAGCGACAATGGGTTTAGTTTTAAAGATATATTAAGAAAATGTTTTTCGATTGAGGGAAATATGGACTATTTTCACGAAACATGATAAAATTCGATATATTTTCACGAGCTGGAAATCTTACTTTTACTCTTTAAAAAGGAAGTTCCAAGCTTTATAAATTCGTTATAAATATTCCTGACAAGTTAATTGGTTGTAAATAAACGGTTTTATGCAATATAACCCTCGCCTGGCGGCTGAGTGATATTTACAAACAACCGTTTAAATAAGGCCGTGCAACCTGTCTTATATAAAACAAGAAGTATCTTGAAAAAAGATACTCGGCCGAAGTAAAACTGGTTAACATGCAAAATTATGTTATTTCTAAGTTTTTTAAACAAAAAGAAATACTTGCACAACAATGACATAATAGTTATTTCTTGTAGTTTATGGAAATACCCATTTTGTAAGTATTGAAATTAAATTATAGCATATTTATATTGATAATTTTTCAAAGTAGGACAACTTCTATTTTAGGTGTCCCTTTAACTTGTTTTATGCTAGACTTTATGAATTTTGAAATCATTGACAATTTAACCAAAACGTTAAGAACTATCCTCATTCCTATACACTTTATTTTAGAACTATCCTTTACATTTTATTTCATAGTGGCAAAACTATCTCTTACATTTTATTTTAGAGCTATCCTTAAAATTTTATTTTAGAATGGTTACATCTATCCTTTACGTTTTATTTAAAAATGACTAATGAGAATATGCCGATTTCAGTTTGTAGCAAGCTCGAAGAGCTGGCCCGAAAGGCCTGCTAGCAATGCGAGCTTTTCGGTAACGCGAGTACCAAGTGATGGTTTTGAAAACTTTCGTCCGAAGTACTGAATTGACAGATCGCAACTTTTCGAGTTACAAGATAGCGATAAAAGCCGAGGTATTCTGATTAAAAACGGAAGCGTAGACTGGTGTCCTGTACACTCATATAGAACCATAATAGGACAGGGAATCAGAATAAACGGAAGCAGTGTATAAAATACCGAATGACAATTTTAAAACGGAAAATGTAAAATAAAAATGAACGATACTATTAAAATATTATTTTATGGTAAAAGTTAATCGAGCTCGCTTTGAGGCTATGCCTTTTTCATATTTACTCTAAACTGACCAATAATAATTCTTTTCATATTCAGTCCTTCCCTGTTTATTTTACAGGAAGTCAAACTAATAACAGACGGATTTCGTCCATTTTTTTAATGGCACTATGATGAATATGTGTATAGAACTTTAAACAGGACATATCTACTTTGTATCAAGTCAAAACAAATATTGACTTGAGTGACCTCCCCTGACAACATTGCAATTGGCATATGGGTTCAAAAAGGAGGTTACTGTTGCACTAAAAAAGAGTCAGTTAGATTGACCTCCCCTGAAAGCATTGCAAATGGCGTAAGGGTTCAAAGGGAGGTTACTGTTGGGCTCCGAAAAGAGTCGCTTAGATTGACCTCCCTGAAAACATTGCAAATGGCGTAAGGGTTCAAAGGGAGGTAACTGTTGCGCTCCAAATAAAAAGAGTCGGTTAGAGTGACCTCCCCTGAAAACATTGCAAATGGCGTAAGGGTTCAAAAGGGAGGTAACTGTTGCGCTCAAAAAAGAGTCGGTTAGAGTGACCTCCCCTGAAAACATTGCAAATGGCGTAAAGGTTCAAAAGGGAGGTTACTGTTGCGCTAAAAAAAGAGTCGGTTAGAGTGACCTCCCCTGAAAACATTGCAAATGGCGTAAGGGTTCAAAGGGAGGTAACTGTTGCGCTCCAAAAAAAGAGTTTGTTAGAGTGACCTCCCCTGAAAACATTGCAAATGGCGTAAAGGTTCTAAAGGGAGGTAACAGTTGCGATCAAAAAAGAGCAGTTAGGGTGACCTCCCCTGACAACATTGCTAATGGCGTAAGGGTTCAAAGGGAGCTAACTGTTGCGTTCCAAAAAAAAGACAGTTAGGGTGACCTCCCCTGACAACATTGCAAATGGCGTAAGGGTTCAAAGGGAGGTAACTGTTGCGATCAAAAAAAAGCAGTTAGGGTGACCTCCCCTGATAACATTGCTAATGGCGTAAGGGTTCACAGGGAGGTAACTGTTGTGTTCCAAAAAAGAGACGCTTAGAGTGACCTCCTCTGAAAACATTGCAAATGGCGTAAGGGTTCAAAGGGAGGTAACTGTTGCGCTCCAAAAAAGAGTCCCTTAGAGTGCCCACCCTGAAAACATTGCAAATGACGTTAAGGTTCTAAAGGGTGGTAACTGTTGCACTAAAAAAATGTTGATTAGAGTGACTTCCCCTGAAACATTGCCAATTGCGTAAGGGTTCAAAGGGAGGTAACTGTTGCGCTAAAAAAAATATTGATTAGAGTAACCTCTCCTGATAACATTGCAAATGGCGTAAGAGTTCAAAGGGAGGTAAATGTTGGGCTCCAAAAAAAGTCGCTTATAGTGACCTCCCCTGAAAACATTGCAAATGGCGTAAAGGTTCTAAAGGGAGGTAACAGTTGCGCTCAAAAAAGAGTCAGTTAGAATGACCTCCCTTGAAAACATTGCAAATGTTTTCAGGGTTGAAAGGGAGGTTACTGTTGCGCTAAAAATAGTTGATTATAGAGTGACCTCCCTGATTAAATTGGAAATGGCGTTAGTGATTTTCGACCATGCGACCACATACACGCATCACAAGATTCCCCTTCTCTTACGAGAAAGGGACAAAGAGTTGTCCGCCCTTTTATTAAAGGGCAGACTTTAAAAATGCCTTTGCCTTATGTTATTGATAAGGAGGCTAATTTTCACAGATATGTCTTGAATTGGTTTATATACAACATTAGTAACGCAAACCAAGCGGGTTATCAGTTTACGTCTTTTTAAGTCCGCTATGAAATTTTAAAAAGATCATATATAACTTCTTGGAAAATTTTGAGTTTAAAGTTTTTTCTACTTCTCATTTTATGTATATAGCAGAATTATTATAATTTTGCAAAACATGAACGTTTCAAAAACGTTTTATATGCGTTAAATATTGGAGATATATTTCACACTGTTTTCACATATTAACCTGGGGGCATTTTTGCCGAAGTACTGTCCAAGGACAATAACTTGAGCCTATGTTTACATAAAAATTAATAATAGGTAAAGCAGACTGAAGCCTAATAAATGAAACATAAAGTAAAACGTCATATTTCATGTGCCTTGATAGCGCAGTAGGCAGAGCGTCCTTGTCAGTGTTGTTTCGTGCATTTAGATTCTCGTATCATAGTTTGGTACCATTACATTTGAGTGTTTTATGCATCTTTTTCTTATTTGACCAGTTTTGTTTCAAATAGTTACAAATGCATGAGATAAAATATTTTTGTACACAGGTTGATATGCAGTTGTGTTCTTAAAATGTTAAATAAAAATTTTAAAAAATCACTTGAAATGTAGTAAGTTTCTTAAGAGTGGAACAAATATGAAATAAAAATGAAACATATACAAAAATGTAATAGAAGAACCAAATGCATGCATATTCAAATGATCATACAAAAGACAGACAAAGTGAAAAAGGGAGAAAAACAATACCAACAACAACATCATCATAGTAACATGGCAGACCGATGGGTTCAAACATATAAGTGCAAATCATTAAAAGTTACTGTGAAATTTTCTATACGACGGTACACATTTTTTTAGAATTAAACTATATATAGTTGTTGATACTTTTAATCTCAAATAATATGCAGACTTACCCTTTATTTGAATTTTCCAAGACCAAATTATCATCACAGGACAATTAATATGGACAATACACATTTAATTTCTATATTCGACTTATTCTACTTGAAAAAGAAAAGGTAATGTGATGGGCTGCAAGAAGAAAAAGAGATTAAACTTGAGCAGCACGCAAATATGAGGTAAGACTACATATTTTTGTTTGCATGTCTTATCATACCTGCTGAATTTGATCGTTACAAAAGTATGAAGTAGGATCATGAAGTCACGCAAACCTTCATCCGTGTGACGTGAATTAACGATCTTCTCGGGAAAATTCCTTATCAAAAGAGATACCTTATTTTCAGCTACATCTACCCTTCATATCGTAACCTAACGCAAAACATATACAATTTATGACAGAGCTTTATTAGACACCGCGTGCACGTCTAGTAGATATGCATTCGTTCAGTCAGCAATGGGGAAAATTTAAGTCTTGTTTTTGTTTATTTATTTTTTGTTCTAACAAAATTACACAGTTTTCAGATTTCGGATAAAAATAGCTTTTCTGATGATCAACATGTCCCCGAGGGTCATGGAATTAAATAAACGTTAAACAAAAGTGACACTTCCATGGTTAAATATCACATTCTTTTTATTTTTATATATTTTTTTTATAATTTACCAATAAAATAACATGCCAATGAGCCAGTCTATATTCTAAAGCAGGAAATTATCGAGCGGAATATCCTCGGCTATTGTCAATATCAACAGAAAGGGCCGAAAAGTTGCGGTTGAAGAAATAAGGTATAATCAGCGTATTCCTTCAATTACCGTAATGCATTTTCAATCTTTATTTAGTGGTCATTGTATCGACGATATATAGAATATGTTTTAGAACAAACACGAATATATATACATTTTGAAAATAATAAAAAGTGGTTGAATTGAAAATCTTAAATTTAGTATACAATCATTTAATTATGCCTCCGTCTATGGAAAGCCATGCGTGTGCAGGCTGATCTGGATCTGCATTGGTCGCATATGCGTTAAAACACATATTCATGGGGTAAAGGGTTAAAGTATGGAAAACCATGGCTGTCTGATATTGTTCTTTTTCAATTTATTTAACCATTTGGATAGTACCTTCTTATTTAACAGGAATCCATTATAATATTAATCCACAGTTACAATATATGAAACCATACTGTCAGTGTTTGAAACCGAGTTAGCAATATATAAATTGATTTTCTCAATATACGATTCCAATTCTTCAATATATTCTACCACTAGATATCCTTTATATATCAATATATTAAATCATTTTTACAATATATGAAACCATTTTATCAATGCATTTAACTAAGGTAGCAATGTATGGAACCAGGTGTCCTTATATGAAACCAAATTATCAATATACTAATTCATTTTTGCAATATATGAAACGATTTCATTCATGTATTGAACCAAAGTGGAAAATTCAACAGCGATCTCATAATGAGGAAATATACTTATAAGGCTAACTAATAAACAACTTGGCAATTCTTAATAAGTTGAGGCAGTCGTGTACAGGACACAGTCCAAAAGGATGCCTTTCTAAACATTGTTTGCGATATTCGTGTTGTGACATTAAAATGGAACACATTTTATCTGAAACGTTATATATCTAGCATCATTTCAACTCTTAAAACCCTGGAAAACAAAGAGATTGGCCTTTTCCATCAGTAATGTTGTAAACCAGTTTATTACAAGCTTTTCGGTAGTTTATAGAAATATATCAGTGAAATAAAACAAACTGTTATTTCACTGTTTGAAACAGTGAAATTATCAATTTGATAATTTTCACTGTGTTGAATTTAAGCCCGTTAAGTTGTTTCAGTGAAATACCAGCGTGTACAGTATTATAGACCAACTTTCTGACGTCCCGTTGTAAATGACGTCACGTTGTATTATTATTTGGCGCGCTTTTCATAAAGTATTAGGGTAAATGTCTTTTTAAACGTTTCTTTGCATATGATAAAAAGAAAATTTGTTTAGTTCAGTGTAAGATTGAAATGTATTTCACCGAGCGAACACCAAAAGTTCATATTTCACGAGTGGCGCAGCCACTCGTGAAATATACCTTTTGGTGCTCACTCGGTGAAATATATTCCGAACTTACACTGAACTAAACAAATATCCTCTATAGCTTTCGTATTTTAATGCTGAAATCCCTAAACTTCAATTGGACCATTCCAACTTCAGAACTGGGCAAATCCATTTCACAAGTTCAAGTTGCGAAAGTTTGGAATCGGACAAACAGGAAATGACGTTATAAGTGTAGAACTGAATCATTGAATATGAGTTTAGTTATTCATTGCATCAAATCGGTGTAAACAATATATTCATATAAAGGAACTTAAATATGGCGGGTATCACAAAACAAGTTTGGCTATTTTTTTCCTAGAGTGTAAAAGGGAAGAGGACACATTTTATCAATAGATATCTAAAACTTTTATACAACAAACTAAAATATTTCTTAGGTATGTTTTTTTATTAAAACTAAATAAAAATGTAACAAAATATATGAGAAATTTGTTTCCAAGTAATAAATAAATCACAGGTTATTTTGTATAAATTATTCCATTATATAAATATATCTATCACAATTCTGCAATGTTAAAAAGATATTTCAAGATATCCCACACTCGAAAATTCGCAAAGTCCAACAATGCTTTTAAATCCGTCCGACAAACACTGGGCAGTCATTCAGCATTGTTTCTATTCAATGCCATTGAAAAATTTTGAATTACATTTAAACATGATATTGTCAATGAAAGCAAAATGACATCGCGAATTTGAAGAACTTATTTCTGGCAGTAAAAATGAACTTGGCACCTCAGACTGTCTATTTCTTGAAATGGACAAAGAGGGCACCGCAAGCTTCACAACATGGCTCCAAGCAGCAGCTCATACAGGTCTTGGTAACCTTGGTGAACACAGCACAGTTGATCTCGCACATTCTCAAGATTGGTGTGATGTACCAAATATGATAGAAAGCAATCGAAGCAAATTCGCAACCCCACTCGGCGGCAATACAGATTCCGTAGAAGAGGGTCAAAAGTTTGTAGCAAACACCGAGCCAAAGATTGAAGCAGGTGTAAGACAGCTTCCAGACGCAGTCGATACTGTGAGCACCCTCGGGTTCAGCCAAGACATCTTCAAATTGGACCTGAAAAATAAGACGGAATGCTTGAATAAGAAGAAAAAGTAAATGTGAGGTAATCACAGGAAGGTTTTTTTTACCGCATTCTATACAGGGATAAAATTTAAGATGTGTATTTGAATATTCATGGGTCGACGCAACAGATAAAGTGTGTCTAAACAGGAAAACATGAACATGTATATCAATCTTAGAAAATGTCTCGAGTTCACAAAACGCTCTTGTATTTTTATGTCCTAGCTAATACCGTGGGAAATGTAGATAAATATTTGAAGAAGAACCCGGGGAATAAAATGAACTGCTAGAATTTTGAAACTTTGCATTTTTTACATTATAATCAAAAATTCTAAAAAAGTAAAAGATGCTAATTTAGTGTTTGTACACGAATGGAAAAAGAAGAATTTTAAAAGCATTGGTTAGGAATCCTGTTTTTATTATCTTAACTTATTTTTTACAAAGTAATGGAGTGCATACTTTAAACGCACGTTTGTGACAGTTTGAAAGAAAAAAAAATTATCATTTTTTAGAAACTTTTCGTAATTCTGAATTTAACTTTGAAAGAATCAATGCAGGCATTGATTGAGCTCAAAATCTGATCAGTTGAAGAACAAGCATGGAGGACTTGTTTATCTAATATACATGTCTAGAGTAAATATTATTACTTATATTCTAAAACATTTATTTCTAAAAACCGTCGTCCTGGTTTCTCCCGGATTTTTCTCTTAAGGTGTGACAATTTATCGAAAATACTAATACAAATATTGTGATCAACATAATATTAAAAAAATAAAAAGACATATAATATAGTCTTTTGCAGTATTTTTCAACAATCCACTGCTTGTTTGTAAACTTGTATTTTAACACGTGCATTTCGTGCAGTAATGTAAGATTAACTATATTTTCATGAGAAAAAATGGAATTTGGGAATAAACCGGTTTTTTTTTAAACATTGCTTTGTCTGATTCAAGTTAAATTTGAATTTAGAAAAATAACTTAGGAAACAATCTGTACTAGATACAAATCATTGCATTATTTAAAATTTTGCTTTATGATAAATTACATTTCAATTAATTTTGCAATTTTAATTCATTATCTATTTATTTTTCTATTTTATTTTCGCAGAAAATGTATTTATATAAGAATATGTAGACATCTTACCTTGATATGTTGATTAAGACCGTTGGGATCTCTGTTGACAAGATCTACTTCCATGATTAATTAGTTAAAGCTGAGGAAAGACTCCAGATAGAAGTGTAAGGACCAAAGTCTGGAAGAGGTTTGATTCGGACTCGTTGTTGGTCAGTTATTTATTGCCTGTCCATTCTTAATGCGTAACCACGGACACTGTATAGGTAGAAACCTGTTATAAATACATAATTCGCTCCAATGAATAGGGCAATCAAACTGGACAATGACTTAACAACAAATTAAAAGACACTCCGTGTTTGTATTATCTGATTAAAATTCGACGGAGATAATTGAATATTTTCCACGCTCGATTTCGTGTCGGGTCGTGTTATTTCTTTAATTTTGAATTAAAAACATAACAAATCTTTTGTTTCATTAAAATTAATCATTTTAAGTACTAAATTGTAAAATAATTTTGTTTGAAAGTCCAGGAAAAAACATATTGCAATATTAGCAAAGGATATCCGAAATAATATTGACTGATTTATAATTATTTCATAAGATAATTTTTCTTTTTTATGTAATTTGTTTCTATTTTCTTTTATTATTTTGTTTGAATCTATATGGGTTTTGTGTTGTGATTTGGTTGGGGGTATATAAAAACGGAGAAAAAGCAAAGTTACAATAAATATTCATAATTCTCTCGGCAATATACAATCATTTTAAAAGCTAAAGTAAAGCTTTTTAATCCTCAGAAAAAAATTAATATTTACATATTTAGGAAGGGAAAACATTATTTTTATAACATTTTTTAAACGGTGATTTTAGAGAAACGTAAGATGCGTGATATTTAGTCATTTTTCTAAACTATTTAAGCGCAATTTTGTCAATTAGTTCAACCACAAATGATGAATTAGTCCTTAACAAATATATAGTCATACTTCCTATTTCAAGATTTAACTGTTCGTGAAGCCAAAAGTAATGCTGTCCTTTTTATTCTTGACAAGTTTTTTTTAAGGTTTCTGTTACCGTTTCCAGAAGGTATTCATTGGCCGATTGATCATATTACTGCATAATCTTAGTGGGAAGTCAAAATACCATTTGTCTTACCTTTTGCTACGTTTAAGACAAAATTAGCCTTAGTTTTTTTCGTGTATAATATTGATTCATTTAAACTATAGAAACCACTTAAATTGATTCTGTAAGATATTCAAGAATTATTTATTATTTCTTAAAATTCATTTCTAATAATTTTGGACTTTAAAGGCCCATTATGCTCTAGAAATACTATACAAAAAGTTACCCATTGGCAAATTACCTGAACCATCTTTTATTAGTACAGATATAGTGATTTAGAATCTTGTACGGAAGTCAAAATACTAATTTTTCATTACATTTTGCTACCTTTATGACAAACATGTTTACATTAATTAAGCGCTACTTTTTCAGGTAGCAATCATCTAACAATTTCTTAAACCATTTTCTTAATGTAACAAAATTCATGTTTGCCCTTTCGAAAGAATAATTAAATGTACAACATGTATTGTTTTAAGGCATATAGTGCCTTTAACTGTATGAACGTATATTTGAATGACCGAGTTACCATTTCGGGAAATGGAACATTGCTTAAAGGGCTTTTTTTAATACCTTTTTATTATTAACTTATTGTTAATTATCCGGAAAGAACAAAATTCTATTTAAAGACTTATATCTGTGTATAACATCTTGTTAACAATAAACTCAGTCGGTGAAATACAACAAATCATTCTTTAAATATAGATTTTCAAAGTTTATACTAGAAGACAAACTTTGTGAAAAAAAGAATCAAATAAATGGTGTAAAGTGTCAAGGGTTGCGTTTCGTAATGATACATGTAGAGGTCCTTTGAAATATTTTTATAATTTAACATATCAGTTTAATTTCGCGTTGAGAGTAGATCTAATAATATGAATATATAGATGGTCTTACATAATAATACTTTTTAAGATACTTAATTCGTAGGCATTATACTTTTATTATTATCATACATGTATAATACATGTATTTGCATTGTATTGCTATATTGTCATGTTTCTAAAGATCAATTTTATACAATATAAGTACAAAATTGATTCGATGAATGTTACGCATTGAATGATATAGAATACACGAAGTACGGACTTGTTTCTAACCTGATTGTTGTTGCAAAGATTGGGGGAACTACTTTAATTAAAAATAGAATAATGTTGTGCAATAATCGCCGATAAGTCTAATTCTTTTTTGAAACACTTATAGCAATATTCGGTAATGTAACAACAGTGTAACAAACAACAATGGACAATAATAGACATTGGGGATACCGTTATAACACCACTTTCTGATTGAAGATTATTGTATTGACAAAACATGTAAACAATTTTTAAAATGCTATTTTACTTTTATTTATTATGTCATGATATAAAACATAGTATAATCGCCTCCAACCCACCCATAAAAGTGTATAGTGTAATACGTAAATTTCAAAATAAATACAAAATGTTATTTTGTTTAACGATGAAATTATTTGAAAAGATAAGAAATGGCCATCCATGAAATCATCAAGGCAAAGTTATAATTTTATATATCGCATATATAGAAAATAAATGAATAAATGTTCAGATTGATTTTTTGATTGGTGCCTGCATGCGCATTCTTCTACGCAACGTTTTATATATGTCCCATAACAGTGTATTGAGTTCAACATTAATTCTGAAAAGTTTAGGAAATTTTATATTAAAGCGAAACCGAATATTCGTAAAAAAATGTTCGTTGTTTCCGCCATTATCTTACTTTCTCTGATATTCTATTGTCAAAAATATTTAACAATATGCGTACATTTAGTTTATACAATTTTTTTTTAGTTCGATTATTTTGGAAGCTACGAGTATAAGTTTATTGAAACACCGTCGAATCTGTTCCTGGAACCAACCAGCATTAAGCAAAATACATTGTTTTGTATCATTTAATGGCACTGTTCTTATTATATAATGTAAATGAAACACGTGATATTTAATTTTATTTGAACGTAAGTATTATGTGACAATGTATATTTTGTACTTACATTTTTACTGTGTACTGACATTTTGTACATTTACGTAGTGTAACCAAAGCAGTAAAAGGAATGGAACATTTCCACGATGGGGATCATTCCCTTTACGATAAAAATAAGTTAAAATATCTTTTTCTATCTATCGTTACATATAAAATGAATAAAAATAATTCCATTGAATATATTATTAAATGGTTTTTTTTCATGTCACAAACACTTTACCTTTAAAGCAGCACGCCTGCAGATTTTCGCTAATTTTCATGATAAAATTGAAAATGTATTATATTGTAGAATATTGTCCACTTAATAGAAACTGTACTTTACATATTGTAAACGGCATTCTCGTACCATGTTAGTTATCAAAAATATGTCGAAATATGCAAAAATAGCCCTTAATGCGTTAGGTAATCAATGGAAACATAGTGATCAATATTGCAAAATCAGTCATTAATCACATATAACATGTTAATCATAACTTGAATTGTAAATATTTTTACTTTTCTTAAACTTTTACTACATTTATCTCTAAGTTGATTTGCATGATTTTTTTTATCTCATCTGGATGCATGCAATTTTAACTTGTTAAATTTCTTTTAAGTTATAGTTTAGAACTTTCTATTATCAAATTTTGGAATATTAAAATGACAGTGTAAAGATACTTAGCCAACAGTATAGTGCCTGGGCAGTCTGAAGTAGACCACAAAACCTGTAGTATTCACTAATTTGTACATGCAGTATTCAACCTTTGTGGCATACTTTGCATGCTGAATATTGCAAATAAAATAATGGATTGAATTGATAAATCAACCCATAAAAGTAGTTATGAAAACAGATTCCAAAATAAAAGTCATGACCAACAGTTTTAAAAAAGAACTATGCTTTCTCCCCTGGGATGATTTTGTCGAGTTTTGTTCTTAAAGTGGTCATGTTTACTCCTATTTTTTCCTAATTATATTTTCCCCTTTTTTAACTTTTTTTTCAATAAAATTAAACTTAGATTATATATATTTTTTGTTAATAATTTATTTCTGTAAAAAATATTCCGGTTATTTACAGAATTCATAACGCGATGTGACATGTACCGAGTGTGAAAAATATCCATTAATCTTTGGCGATTTTAAATCAGACATGTCGGTTACGCCATGCCTTTTAATGTATTGTTAAATCATTGTCCACTTAGATTGTCCATTGATTGAAATTGAATTACTATTTATGACAAGTTTCTACCTATTCGGTGTCCGTGGATACCTATCTGAAAAACATTGGCAATAAAAAGCCGTCCAAGGCCATGCTAAAATCAAACCACTTCCAGGCTTCGGTCCTTGCACTTCTATCTGGATTGTTTCGTTCAGCAATAACTAATTAATAATGGAAGTAGATCTTGTCAACAGGGATCCCAACGGTCTTAATGACCATATTAAGGTAAGATATTTTGATATATTTCGATAATTAACTAAAGTTTATTTTATTATTTTGAAATATTTTGAAAATTATGCCTGGGTTCCGAATGAAAACATTTGATTTGATTATAAGGTACATGAAGTTTTACAGATTTAAAACAATATTGACATAAAGTTAAATCCGCACGCTTCCAGATGAGCAAAATGTATCTTCAAAAAACAAACTTAAGAAAAAGGGGAAAAAAGTTTTAGAAATGTATAAATATTCACCATTCACGCAAACTCTTGAATGTACTATAAAAAATATGCCAGAATATACTTTTTTCACTAAGTTTCTATCCTGGTCTAACGGAGTTAGATAACTTTCCACAAATATATGTATTTCTACAAATTATAACTAATTTCTGTGGATAATAAGCTGCAAAGACTATGAAGACATTTTCTTTATAGATATGCATTTATTGAAATCTAGGAAATTCTTACTTAATTTATCTAATTTGAATAAAAGGACGCACAAACTATGTTGGGAAACCTGCATTCCCTATTACTGGTCAAGTTAACTTAGTATTTTCTTTAAAAATGCCAGTTTTTTATTGACACTATGTAGTCATTCTGTTTGCAGTGTTTGAAACATTACATATTTTTTCTGTGTTTACTTGAAAGTTAATTACATTTTACATTTAAAAAGAGTCTCTACAACAATTTTAAAGTTAAAGCGAATAGTAATTTGTATAAAGTACAG